ACGTTGACGATCGTACCTCTCTCCTTCACCGAAAGGATTTCGAACTACGAGGAACGCTCAAAATGCCCAATTTTGAGCCCAATGCCGTGATTCGCGGCGCTCAGCTCACGATTGTTGGAAGTGAGTCTCCCCCATACACCACCCTTGAGTCCGGAACTTCCGGATCGCCCTTTGCATCCTGAAGGGGTCATTCTTGATTATCGACCTGGATTTCGATCTCCAGACCATCGGGCCACGATCGCCAATCGACCATGGTTATCAAAATGGGGATTCCATGGCCCTCAACCATCGGGAAGGCCATGGATGGAGATCCTCTTGGCATCTTTACTAGTGGATATGTGGCTGACCAAATGGCCAACAGCTGTTCGAGCACTGCGGAACCCAGAACTTTTCAGACATGAGCACTTCCGGCAAGCAGCTTTTGCGATCGCTGTAGGAGTCGCCATTGAATTAATTATTCAGATCCCCGTATGTCCTTAGTTCCAGCTTCCACAACAGGAAATGATCTACAGAACTGACGGGACCCTCTAGATCATCGGGGTCAAGTTTCTAATATGGATCATATCTTGGATGGCCGACTTGGAGAGCGCGACTTGGGACGATGCTCTTCTTGAAAGTCTTGATTTTTTGAGCAAATCAGTCCTTCAAGTTCCCTTCCTGGTGATGACGCTCATGCGATACATCACCCCAACTCTCGATGAAATGTAAGCCTATTCTTATGCCGCACGACATGGAGTTCCTGTACTGACTAGATAGCTTTATGGAATCTATCAAATGGGTTGACTCAACTTATGTTGACAAACATAAGGCGGATGATCCCAAGACTTTACGGGCCATGTACTACCCAAGCCTTGCGATGTACTCCACCAAGGGGAGTGTTGGGGTGTCTAAGCCAAAAGGTGAATCAGCTCTCTTGTTCGTCCGTCGCTATGGGCGCAAGGTCGGGATGATGCTTGGGATCTTTTTGCTGTCGCTTCTTCCCATCGTTGGGCGCTTTGTGATGCCTGCAGCGTCGTTCTTTTCCTTCCAACAGATGGTGGGCCCAGCCCCTGCAGCTGCTATCTTCGGAACCGGCCTCGTACTCCCCAAGCGCTACCTGGTCACCTTCCTCCACAGCTATTACTCTTCCCGCAGTTTGATGCGTGAACTCGTGAGTGCTCATAAACACTGCCAACCCTGCAAGATCATGTATGACATATCTAACCATTTCAAATAGCTGGAGCCATACTTCTGCCGTATCAAATACACTCACGAACAGAAGCGTCGCTGGTTTGCGGATCGAGAAGGTGTCCTATTTGGTTTTGCCATTGCCTTCACTGTTGTGCTGAAGACACCGTTTATCGGAGTTCTCATGTACGGTATTGCGCAAGCATCCACGGCCTATCTTGTGACCAAGATCACGGAACCTCCACCGGTACCCGCGGAGAGTGAAGGTTTTGCTGAAAGCCAGGTGACCTGGAAGAATAAGCATGATTTCCTGCAGCTATCACTGGAGAACATTGACAAGATCAACATTGCTGCGCAGAGGAAGAAGGAGGGTGGCAAGGCTGATGAACCCGATGCGCTTCGCCGGAAGTTTGCCTAGATTCGGGGGTTCATCCAGGATCCGTAGAGGTGTTATTACTTGCAGGGTGTCCTACATATACGAGAGCAGATGCCGAGGAGAGGAGGGAAGCCGAAGATGTGGATGGATGGTTGTCTCCACGTCACCACCAACCCTGAACTTGGAGACGGTGCGGAACCGATTCCGGCCTCTCCAATGAGATAGAAATATAGAAAGCCTTGAATTGATTCCTCCCGGCCAGGCCCGCTGATAAGCGCGATAAGTCGATCGTTTCTCGTAATCTCCAACTGCGGGGTTGGTAAAACAATGAATCAGTCGAAAGATAATCAATCAATCAGTTAATCAATCAATCAATCGATCCTGCTGCCCTTGAGGGGAAAGAGTTACACTCGCCTCCTCACGCGGAGTTGCAATCTGAGCCCTCTTAAAGGCGCTGCTGTCCCCCTTGGTCCTCCGTCTTAGTTGTTCATCTTGGATACATCCATAGCCAAACATCAATCGCAAGCAGATATCCGTATAAATATGGGACACAAGGGCATTCGCACCGCTCTCAAGGTCGACCTGGAGAAGCCAGCGTGGGAGCAGCCCGGGTTACATGTATGTCCTCGATGCCCTCGCCGAGTGTCTCCCCTGTCAATACTAATCAATGCTCTAGAACCGCTGGCACCCGGATGGTATATCCTCTTCCTATACCTCCTGATCATGACGTGTAGCATCCTTTCTAAGCATATCTCTTATGAACAGTTCCCTCCTGCGGTAAGATCGCCAACAATGAAGTCGTCAAGATTGAATGTCTGGACTGGACCGGAGGACAGATCAAAAACAACGACTCGGCCGACGACATCAAGAATGTGGACCTGACGCAGATCCACTATCTATCGGGCCCATTCGACATTGAAACTGCTGAGCCCGGAGATGTCCTGCTGGTAGAAATCCAGGATGTTCAACCTTTCCAGGACCAGCCTTGGGGATTCTCAGGGGTGTTTCACAGGCAAAACGGAGGAGGCTTCTTGGACGAGATTTATCCTGAATCGTATGAAGGCACCCCCTACTAGAGAATTCCACCCTTCTTGCGCAGACCCCTAGAAAAGCTAACCTGGATGCGTATAGAGCAAAGGCGATCTGGGACTTCGAAGGCATCTTTTGTTCCTCTCGTCATATCCCTCATGTACGTTTCGCAGGCCTCATTCATCCCGGTATTCTAGGATGTGCCCCCTCCGCAGAGGTTCTCGCAGAGTGGAATCGCCGCGAAGGTGAGTTGATCGCAGCCAATACAACCAGTCGAGAGGTTGCAAAGCCACCTGAGCCCAAGAGTGCGCATGCTGGGAGCGCGGAAGCGAGCCTCAAGGAACTAATTGCAAAAGAAGGAGCTCGCACTATTCCTGTATGTCCCAGTCCAACACAACCATCATTTCGAGCTAACAAAAGCAGGGTCGTCCCGAAAATGGAGGAAACTGTGACATCAAGAACCTCTCCCGAGGCTCGAAAGTGTACCTTCCAGTCCACGTCCCAGGAGCCAAGTTCTCCGTAGGAGACCTGCACTTCTCTCAAGGCGATGGGGAAATCTCCTTCTGTGGTGCCATTGAAATGGCAGGTGTTATTACTCTGAAGTTCACCGTGATGAAGGGCGGCATGGCCAAGCTAGGCATGAAGTCGCCGATATTCCATCCAGGCCCGGTTGAGCCACAGTTTGGCCCTGGTCGATATCTCACTTTTGAGGGATTCTCAGTCGATGAGAATGGGAAACAGCACTGCCTCGATGCTACCGTTGCTTATCGACAGACGTGTCTCCGCGTGATCGAGTACCTTCGTCGGTATGGCTACAGTGACTACCAGATTTATTTATTACTCAGCTGTGCCCCAGTTCAAGGCCATATTGCTGGAATAGTGGATATTCCGAACGCCTGCACCACCATGGGGGTGCCGATGGATATCTTTGATTTTGATATCAGGCCTGAGGCGGAGGTTGTTAAATTGGATATGGGCAGCTGTGCATTTGCTAGCAGCTAATTCAGTTATGGATTGACTGTGTTACGTCAAGCACGAAAGATCAACCATTGAATGATTCAGATCCAATTTCGCCTTTCGTTATCTTTTCCTGGGTGATTAGAAACAGTATCATCTTTATATGGATCCTCGTGAAGCCACAGGATGTAGCGGCCTGGGAGTTACAGTAGCTGGAGCTGAAGTCAGGTTGAGGAAGTATCCCCAGGAGTAGGATCGGTTTATCCTGTCATTTTATACATTTCTAATCATACCAGATTTTGACTCCATCATACTATACAGTATAATCCTTAAGTAGTAACGACTCTTCACTGCTACTCATCGTCTTGTTCTGTTAGGTTATTAACCAACGTTAGTGAGCTTGAGATAGCAAATCTAGGGGCACTTTTCTCACACTAGGCATATGAGAAACAGTCACCAAGCGAATCTTCATCATAAGTGTGCTAGCAAACCCACAGAAGAGATCATGTAGTCGTTCAATAGGAGGGTCGTTAAGCCAACAGCATCCATGCCGAACAATCGACGAGATCTCTGAGCATGAAAAGCAAGCTTTCTTAGATATCTCAGCATTAAGTATTATTTATATGTATATTGCGCGTCAATACCGATTCAATGTGAGGGCTTCTTGTGAGATTCGTCCCCAACAGCAGCTGTGCCTGGGAGAGGTTCCATTGCATAATATCCCATTCAGAATCTTGCTTGGGACGCCATATCCATTTGCCAACCGTTCGGAATCCTAGACTCTTGTAGAGAGACAGTCCTGCAGGTGTTGCAAATAGATAAACAGGAAGGTTCTCTTTCTCTGCTCTTTCCATGCCCCATTGCAGTAGACGTCTTTCAGCCCCCTGGTGTTGAAATTTGGGGTCCACTCCTAGATCTAGGATTCCATAGTAGTTTCGTGGTCTCTGATATCCTTTTTCAAACCGGCGAGAGTCGGGATCACTACATACTTTGGCCATGGCTCGAGCATATATGCCGCCACCGCAACACAGGATATCTCGTGAATATCAGTAGAAGTTGCCAGGCGTATAAGCATTGTGGAGGGTATCAGAAGGGAACGGCGCGGTTCAAATGTTCCATCTCCACTGCTCCTTTATACAATCGTCATTTGGGGCGAATGATGGCCACCATTTCAGGGGATGGGATTGGACAAAAAAAGCATACTTGCAGGGAGGATGAAACTAAGCAGGGGCATACAGCTTTCTTGTATTATCCCATGAGTCATTTGGCCAACTCCTGAAGAAACATGGATGGCGCAGTGCCTTTGCCATGGCATAGCTCTAGGCAACAATAATGTCGATCTTAAGCAAAGTGGATCAAACTGTTTCACACTGACTCATCTTCTTCCACTAATTTGTTATGAAGTATACTCTTGTTTCTGTTATTTAATCCAGACTCCAGACCAACTCTAAGTAAGTATCAATATAGTATGATGATCATCTCAGCCGCCGAACAACTACTGCGGCACCTGCAATTCGCCGCCTCTGTAATAACTCTGCTATTCACTTTCTTCTCGTTTCTCGTTAATTATGGATCCTCTACAACTGGAAAGACGTCCGGTCCGCGCAAATCTGCTGTCATTGTCGCTTCAACCGGATGCATGTTCGCATATTATGTCACTCAAGTCATCATTGTGTTCCGAGGGCGCCATGAGCTTGCACAAATACAGGACCGTATTATGACTACGATCATCCTGTCCTTAGCATGGGGTTCGCTTTGCACACGCAGACGCTCTTGGTTGCCAGAGTTAACCGGCATCAGTGTCATTTCACTCGTCTCTGGGATTCCTGTCTTGGTCGTGGATGCGATATATAGAGCCCGTTACGCCACATACAAAGCCCTACTTGTTGCGGAATGTCTTCCGCTAGTTCACGCGAGCTTCTTGCTAGCATACTGTTTGATTATCTATTTGCGCTTGCGGATGACGAGTGCGAGGCTAGTCGAGGAGGAAACGAGGTCCGGCCTCAGCGACTCAGACAGTCCTATAACCTCCGAGCGATACCGCGACCATTGCAGCAACCAGGACTCGGACTCGGAATCAGATACAGGCAGCTCGGATGAGGGAGACGAGGAAGATGTTGACACTCGGACCGGGGAGCTTCGTAAGTCAGGCCATTGGATAGACTATCTCTCCAACTTCAAGGTCTTCCTACCGTTCCTCATCCCGCAAAAGGATATCAAAGTTCAATTGTGCTTTCTAGTCTGTGTACTATGCTTGATTGCCGATCGTGTGTTAAATGTGGTGGTGCCTACTCAGCTGGGTAGCATCGCGAACAAGCTTTTCACACAAGACCTTGCTCTTTCAGATCTCGGGATATACTTTGCTTTGAACATTCTCCACGGGCAGTCAGGCTTGGAGATGCTCATGTCATTGGCTAAGATTCCCATCCAGCAGTTCTCTTACCGACAGCTCACCAACGCCGCCTTCAGCCACGTCATGGACCTCACGATGGAATTCCACTCTGAGCGAGACTCTGCCGAGGTCATGAAGTCTATCGAGCAAGGCGCCGCGCTCACAAATGTCTTGGAAACCGGCTTCCTAGAGATAGCTCCAGCGGTGATTGACCTGTTTGTTGCATTTGTCCTTCTTTACGTCAAATTCAACTCACTAGCGGCATTGTGCATGCTGATTGCGACGCTGACATTTCTGTCCCTGGAAGTCGCAGCATCCCGCTGGAACGTCGACAATCGCCGGCAGCTGACGAAGGCTGAACGAGGCGAGGCGCGTGTGATGCATCAAGCTATTCAAGGCTGGCTGACGGTTTCGGCATTCAACATGTTCGCGTATGAGAAACGCCGCTTTGCAGAGGCAGTCGACCACCACCTTACCGCAAAACGAAAGTGGTCCTGTCGCGATGTGTACTCGACTGGCTTAATGGAGGCATGCTTCCCTGCTTCTTTTGTAGTCCTTGCATGCGTCGTCGCCCATGAGATCACTCAAGGCCGGGCGTCTCCAGGGGACTTTGTGTTTCTGATACAGTACTGGGACTATCTCATTTGGCCGATCAAGTATTTGACCAAGGATTACAGGTGGTTGATCGCAGACTTGATCGATGCTGAACGGCTGCTCGACCTGCTTACCACCAAGTCGACAGTTTCTGACAAGTGTGATGCGTTCGATCTTGGTCCGGTTCAGGGATATGTTGAATTTGAGAATGTGTGCTTTGCATACAATACCAAGGAGCCGGCTGTCCGTGACATCAATATCTCTGCAGCTCCCGGGGCCATTGTCGCCCTAGTTGGCACCACTGGAGCTGGAAAGTCTTCACTGATGAAGCTATTACTTCGCCATTATGATGTGACGTCTGGGGGTATCAAAATCGACGGCCTTGATATTCGCGACATCACAAAAGGTTCTCTCCGCAATGCTTTGGGCATTGTCCCGCAAAACCCTCTCCTTTTCAATGCCTCGATTATAGATAATCTCCGATACGCCAACTTGGATGCCTCTGACGAAGAGGTCTATCGAGCATGTCAAGCGGCTGCAATCCACGACAAGATTCTTACTTTTCCACAGGGCTATCAGACCAAAGTCGGGGAGCAGGGTGTCAAATTATCTGGTGGCGAGGTCCAGCGCTTAGCGATTGCGCGAGCCATTCTAAAGAATCCACCCATTCTCATACTGGACGAGGCAACCAGTGCCGTCGACACTGAAACAGAGGCCCAAATACAAGACGCCCTCAGATATCTCATCAAGGACCGGACAACGTTCGTTATCGCACACCGGCTTTCAACAGTGATCAAGGCAGATCGCATCTTTGTGCTGGAAAACGGTAGCATTGCTGAAAGCGGGACTCATCGGGAATTGCTTGAAAAGCACGGTCGATACTACAGCCTCTGGCATACACAACTGCATGAAAATGAGGATCCTATGATGATAGATATAGAGTCTACCGACTGAATCAAGCCCGTGTTGGCTATACCCAACAGAGACCGTGCTGGGCAGACCCTAGAGACGGTCCCCTCTAGGATGAAAAGGTCATCTAAACGAGCCGTATCCAAGAAGACTTCCAGCAAGCTTGTTCGAGTGAAATAGTAATAGGATCATCCCCACATGGATACTGTCACTAAAAGCGACCAATTTCGGTCCACGGGAGATAGGAGCAGGAGAATTACAGTGGATGGAAGTTGAAAACTTATCTCCAGGAGTAGAATTGGTTTACTCTGTCAGAATATACTCTTATGGTCCTACCAGCTATCTTACACTTGAATCTTCATACCAAACACTTTCTTATAGTAATTTATTATAACTATAGAACCACTGATTACTCAGTTGCAGAGATCTAATCAAACATCCCGTCATCTTTTGGCTAGGTCAGTGCCAAGTAGAGCGGAATATGAATTCCTATCACGATGTCTTGGGCAACTTCATTATCATTCGAGCCAATATGGGCCTCGGTCGATAAGTATGCATTCCTAGCCCACTCAAATCCCACTATGCATAATACACCGCAAATACTTCGATATCCACCGAAGCCCATAAGCTTTCTGTGGCGGAGTTCCCCGCTTATCGATACATTTTATATACTCACTGTTGTACGACTCTCACTGATAATGACACATAATGCATACTATCTCCTATCGGCAAACGGTGCTCTCAGACATCTTGATCTGGTCATAAATAAGAGATCACCTGAATTGTTGCTGTCCCAGTTAGTGACACACCCTAACGTCCAACCAAACGCCTGCGGCGATTCACGATGCTCTGGAAAAAAGTCATATCGCTCATTGCTTTCGACAAGGTAGCTTCGACACGAGCGACTCAGCCAGTCAGCCGCGATTTATTTCAGCTGAATACGACGGAGGAGATTTTTTTCCAGCTCGAAAACGTCTCCTACCTTAGCAATGCTCGCCATCCGAAAGCGGTTTATCCAAGCAGCTGGCCTCCATCAGACCAGCCGCTGTGGACTCCTTTAACCGCCATTAGTGTCAATGTGACACAGGTGACAGAGGCAGATATTAAGAAGACCATCCAGGACTACTTGGACCAGGACGATGTCTTCAATCCCGCGTTTTTGGAGACCGTTTTCATCCAATCCGTCGCTGGAGGGACAATTGAAGAAGAAGCGATTGGCTACCTGCAGCGCCTGAATGTGTCAACCATCATTGTCCCCCCAAACGTTACCACTTCACCCAAATCCTCCATCCGTATGGTGCGTATTGATTCGGTGCCGTATAGCCAACCGGTTGAAGGGCCTTTTGTAGCCGTTGTCAAGGACAACGCTATCCATCTGTGTCCCGTCTGGAGGCTGTACTTGGATCATTACAGTGTGTTTCTGCAGGGTTCGTATGAATCCGGAGATGGTAAAGGCACGCATCGTGCAGTTGGAGCTGAGAATACCAGGATCTTCGAACAGCCTCTGATTCCGTAAGTAAATCAGTTCTCGGGTGGGGTCTGTCTCGTCCAGCGGTTGACGTGTTCACAGAGTACCCTCGCGTATCTACAGCTGGAGGGACCCTCGTCCACTAGCTGGGGCGCGAGTGGGAGTCAAAGATCTGTTTGATGTCAAAGGCCTCCAAACCACGGGAGGAAGTAAGGCATGGACGCATATCACTCCTGTTGCGAATGCCACCGCACCAGCAATCCAAAGAATAGTACATCTATATCTTTCCACACTATCGACACAGGTGGTTTTCGAATATGCTTCTTGAGCTAATAGCAGTAAGATTGATCTCGGCGGCCACATTGTCGGCAAGCAGAAGCTGGCGCAGTTCGCGTCGGCAGCCAACCCATGGCTCTGGCAAGATGAAGTATGTCTGATTCTGCTGAACGGGTAATATTCCTCACTGACTTTCAAAAGCACTACCCATTCAACCCTCGTGGAGACGGGTGGCTTACATGCAGCGCATCGTCTTCTGGCGGCGGTTGCTCCATCGCAGCATATGAATGGCTGGACTTCGCGATTGGCACAGACACCGGTTCCTCTATAAGGCTACCCGCTGCAGTAGCTGGTGTATACGGGTAACTCTTCCCTCCCTGTGGCCCCCCCAGAACATATACCCCATCACCAAAATCAATCCTAACATGACATGCGCTCTAGACAACGCCCCAGCCAGGGTATGATGTCTCTGGATTTCGCTCTCCCTGTCAGCCATCCCAGCGACACAGCCGGGGTGTTCAGTCGGGATCCAAAGAAATGGGCCCAGTTCGCCAAAGCCTGGTACACCACCACCATGCAGCAACCGTCGAATATGACCGGATTGCCTCCCTACGATGTGCCCGATACCGACCAATTCCCCACCCGACTAGTATATCTAAGCGACTTCCTACCACTAAACCAAGCCGCCACAGCGCCTATCTGGCAATCTTTCATATCAAACCTTACACACATGTTCAACATGACCGTCGAAACAATCAACTTCACCGCAGTCGCACAATCCACATCCGAGCCCGCCATATCCACCATACTCGAGGCCAAGACCATGGACACCATCTGGACGTGGGACCAGTGGCGGCTAATCGGGGAGCCCCTCCTCAGCACCTGGGGGAATATGTTCGAGGGCCGGTTCCCTCCTCTAGACCCGACCCACCGCGACCAGTGGCAGGGGTTCCTGGCCAACCCGGTCCGGGAAGAAGACTTCCAGCGGGCTCTTGAGGCCCGAGCAAAGGCAGTTGCGTGGTTTGAGAAATCCATTCTGTTCTCCACTACTGACTCGTGCTCGGAGTCCCTCCTGGTCTATGATATTGGGCCCGGCGGGTTTCCCTCCTACCGGGAGGATGCGCTGAACAAGTTACCGAATACAACGTATGTTTACGAGAAGTCGGCTGGTGCGGCCATTCTTGGGGCGTCCATTTGCCCGATCTTTGGGTGTGCGGATTATACGGTTCCGATTGGAGAGGTGGCGTATAAGTCGGCTGTTACGTTGAAGACGGAGATGATGCCCGTGACAATCAACTTGGTCGTCAAACGGGGGTGTGACTTTGTGCTCTTTAATATGATTGAGAGGCTAGCTGATGCGGGCTTGCTGCAGAGTGTTAAGACTGGGAAAACACTGTTTTGAAATGAATGGGGATTGGGTGAGCTTTTTGTGAGCGCGTAGCAGTCTATCATGGTTAGCTACAACTTTCATTCGTCTTGTTTCTTCTTTCATCTTGCGAAGTGTCATTGACACCTAGCAGATTCCTACAGTAGCTCTGTATCTAGCCTTATTTTCAATCTTTAACAAGTGAGAGCAAACAGGCTCGCCGGTAGAAGCATGAGTACTATACTTCTTCCATGCGATAGCTTCATGCCATTGATACCAGAACAAGCTATCAAATAGCTTCATGCAGACTGCGCTTAAAGCCGACTCTTGTCACCAATCCTAGTCCACTCATTCTCTCCAACTTCCTGGAAATCCATTACTTTATTCGGGCCTCCAAATCGATTTTGCGTATCCTTCCAGTCTCGTTTGGCAGCAATCTCAGGTCTCCACCGTAGTACATGCTTCAGTTCCTTTTGCAGGTTTCCTTCCAGAGCATCCGCTATGAACCCGCCGATGGTAGGCATTTGCATGGCCCCATTGCCCGATCCACCGACCGCAAGCAGCAAAGAGCGGTGCTCAGGGTGCCTGTCAATCAAGAAGGCCCGGTCCACGGTATCAGCGTCCCAGCATATACGAGCAAACGCCAGGGGTCGATCGGCAAGATGCGGCATTGTGTCACGGAGGAAGTCCCTTGCACGGGCCTCGGCCTCGAGCGGGATCTGATGTTTCGCAAAGGGGACACTGCGCACCTCGCCGCCGTGCATCGGGTCCGGGACAAAGTTGCAGTATCCAGGATGCTCATCGCAGATCTTCAGTTCGTGGTGATCCTCATCGGGTTCCATGAAGAAGCCCTTTGCGACGTTGAATAGCACGGGAAGGTTCCGGTACTTCTTGGCCTCCTCAGGCGTCATTTTGATATGGCAGAGTGTCCAGGCGGTGGGACGGAGCTGCTTCTTAAAGTCCAGGAGACGGTCACTGCCAGCCCCTGCGGATAGGATGGTATGGTCTGCTCGGTGGAAAGCGCCGTCGGCTGTTCTGGCCCCGACCACGTCTCCGTTCTCGTAAACTAGAGATACGACGTCTCCTTCCGGGGGCCCGGTGATGAAAGTGACTCCTAGACGCTTCGCCTCGGTGTATGCGGAGAACATGGCCTTCTTGGCGTGGATCCATCCGGCGCCGGTCTTGTTCAGCCAGCCCTTCCAGCCCGGGAAGTTGCCGGTGAGGATGCCTGGCGGCATGGTCTTGCGGAAATCCTCTGCGGTGTCCAGTTTGACGAACTCTGCGTCTGACGAGTCGATCTCGTGTTCTTGTATATGTTTAATTAAAGATGGGGTGTGGCCAGAGACAATTGCCCCCGTTTCATGAAAGTATGGCTGGAACACGGGATCGGACTTCCAGCCTTTCAGAGCAGCTTTTGTGCATGTTGAGAAGGCGATACCCCAGGGGTCAGTTTCCGAGGCTATTGGATTTCTCGTTGGGTGAGCTAGCAGTCAGTTTGATCTGGGTCATGCATTATACGTACCTTTGACCTCTCTGTGCTCCATGATTTTGTTAATGTCATTGCCAGCTGCAATGGGGGAAGGGACCGGGTGCGGATCTAGGACCGTGACATTTTTGTAGCCTCGACGGGCAAGATGTAAAGCAGTAGAACAGCCCCAGGTCCCTGCACCGACGATTAAGATAGATGATGCGGGAGTTAAGCTAGAGGGGGTCATTTTTGTGTTACTGATGTGAGTAAGTGTAGGATATAACCAGGAGGATAATTGTTAGGGAAGGCGTATACAGAACCGCACTAGAACTCGAATTTATACAGGTGAGTAAGTCATGCCATGAACAAGCAGAAGCCAGCTGGCTATCCCGAAAGCTGCAACAGGCTAGCCTAGGCCACGTACTGGAGCAAATACCGGCAAGGTGGCCTTATCATCCGCGACATGGAATATATTGAAGGGAAAACCAGCAGCATGATGCATGGATGCATGAAGTGGTTATGCCAGTGCGCAATCTGATTGGACGCTCGTGACTGGCCCATCACCTGATTAGGGTTAGGTTGAGAGGATCCGCGTGGACCTTCCTCCCTTTTAAGCTATCGTATCTTCTCCGCATTTTCTATCAACCTTGTACATTTGCCATATAGTACATCCTCACGATGCAGCAGAGATAACCCTTGCTCAACCGGGTCAATACCTGCATGACTGCCCCCGCATTTTATCGTTCGTGGCAAATGTAGATATTATTCCACCCAATTGTGGACTGCAGGGCTCTCTCCGCACCAGGTCCCTTCCAGTATCAAATTCCCGTTGCATCATGACCAGTCGTTTGGAGCTTCCTTCCTGTCGATCACTTATCGTACTCTCCCCCTCCTGCCCGGTAGGTCGTATACTTATCGCTCTAGATTATGTCCATGCATTTGCCCGGATGTGGAATCGTAGACCTCGGGACATATCGCGTGGAGAGGAACATGGCGTACATCGAGCCGGATAATCTGCTGCATCGCCCAGGCCTATCGTATGTAGCCGGTAAAGCTTCATTAGATAGTTCGGAAAGCTCGTCCAATGGTGGGGGCGCTGGGATATGATGGACGGGATGGTGATTTCCCTTCCCCTCAGAGGAGGTCTGCGAGTTCGCCGCCGCCGGCATTGTATTTAAGAAGCTATGCGTCCCCAGCATGGACGTCTGTCCATAGCTATTGAAAGAACTGTAAACTCAACATGGCTCCTTCGGACGACATCCTGACTGATGTCCCAGGCACTGTTTACTTGGTTGACAGTACGTGTACATCTACTTCGACTGGCTCTGTATAGATTGGCATTAACCATCTATACAGCATCCGGGAACTTGGCCGATGCTGCGCACGCAAATGACATTCTCCTGCTCCCCCAGCCATCATGTTCCGCAGCTGATCCTCTGGTATGCACATGTGCCCTTTGGCTAGTCCACCAGTCACTAACATCTGGCACAGAACTGGCCGAAGTACAAAAAGTACTGGACCCTGTGTCTCATCTCAGCCTATGCATGCGTGAACTCCTTTGGCGAGAACAACTGGGGTGCATCCTGGACAACTATATCCGATGAGACCGGCGTTAGCTCGAGAACATGAACGGCGGCTCTGCCCTCAACTACCTCATGCTTGGCTTCTTCAACATCATTTGGATTCCGACGGCGATGAAATTCGGACGCAAGATCGTCTACATCTTGAGTTTGATATTTGTTGGCGCGAGTGGTATCTGGGGTGCATTTTACGTTGGCACGGGCCAATATTATGTTATGACGACGATTAGTGGAATGGGCACCGCTGCGTACCAAGCCCTGATCCAGCTTACGGTAAGTCTCACTTTCTGATCTATGTTCTGTGCGTTGTTAAGCGATAAAAGATCTTCGATACGTTCTTTGCTCACGAGCGAGGCCGGATGATCGCGATTTACATCTTCTTCCAGCAGCTGGGGTCCATCCTTGGACTTATCCTGGGCGGATACATATCCGATGGTATCGGATGGAGATGGAGTATGCCCATTGTTGCAATTGCCTGTGTGAGTGCGCTCCTCACCTATTTGTCGCTAGATTAATCCACTCATGGAATCTAGGGAGTCCTAATCTTGTTGTTCATCTTTACCTTCGATGACACCATGTTCCCGCGGTACCGCTTCTCAGAAAGAACACCATCGGAAGCCTTGAAAGGTGAACAGAGCTATGAAGCTTCCCCTGAAACGCAATCCGAGAAGCCTCAGAAGGAGGGGCCCCATATGTCAGTGACCCCAAGCAATGGGGCGGGCGAGGTAGATATGCCGCCACGGACATATACCCAGAAAATTGCTCTGGTGCACTACTTCAAGGACGACCAGACGACATGGTTCCAGTATTTCCGACGACCATTCTATCTCTTCGCGTTTCCCAATATCGTCCTAGCTGGCATTCAATTCGCGTTCGGATGCACCGCAGGAATCGTCTCCTTCAACACCATCTCAGAGATCATGACAGAAGCTCCGTACAATTGGAGTAACGGCTCAACCGGCCTGCTGTTCCTCTCCGCTCTCATCGGCAGTTTCTTTGGGTAAGTAATAACCACCTTGTCTTCTTTTCGTTGTCCCTGTCTTGTTGTAGACAAAGCTCATATAAATCAGGATGGGCATCGGATCCCTATCAGATTGGCTCGTTCTCGTCCTAGCCCGTCGCAACAAAGGCTACAAAGAGCCGGAAATGCGACTCTGGGCATATGTATTTCCGCTGATATTCGCCGCCCTTGGATACTTCATCTACGGCTGGGGTGCCACAGCAGGAGCGCATTGGATGACCATCGCCGTTGGTTTGTGTTGCATGATAGCTCAACAAGTCTCAGCAACCAGTATCGCAACCGCTTACGCCATGGAATGTTTCGACAAGGTATGTCTTACCGAGTCTCTTTACAGCGCCCTTCCGGTCTGCACCAGCTAACCATGTGCCTAGATTTCCGGCGAACTGGTGATTGTACTCGCCATATGCTCTTCTGTCATCAATTTCGCCATCTCGTTCACCGTACAGCATTTCATTAACGCCACGAACTATGGCTGGGCTTTCACCTTTTATGGGATATGTGTGGTCCTTTCTATGGCGATGGGTGTGCCTATGATTATCTGGGGGAAGAGCTGGCGCCGACGGGGCAAGGGGCGTTATGAGAAGTTTCTGACAGAGACGGGTCGCCAATCTTGATAAATAGCGGGCCAGAGCACAGGAGCTGTTTCGTATCCTGCTGCTTCTGGTTCGGTTTGATTTATTGTAGTTTTTTAAGGGTACGTGAAGGCCTTTGAACATGCACCAGTGCCTGGAAGATACCGGATAATCGTGCTTTCCATTGATCATTATTTTATTGCTCCATTGCTAGATTTCAAGATTTTCCTAGTTTATGTTAAGTCTTGGGTATGACCCGCTAAGTGAACGACGTCCGCAGATCAAAACTTAGGAACTAGCCAGTCAATGCGCCGATTTCACCATGCTACCGAATACCAAAAGACATGGTCTTTAGGAACGAGGCTGCGAAAGCCGGAAAGGATTGCAAATGACGATAGAAGGGGAAACGAACACAGGAGCGGTGCGACTGTCTAGAGACGCAATTGAGACGTCGCTTTTATGCAGAAGGAAAATAGGGTGGTTTGTAGTAGAAACATTCATGAATCGTCCATGGCATTATCGCGCTTATGAGAAGAACCTCTGTGCAGTGGCGCGTTCCTTGGCCTGGCGGTCCTTGATGGCCTTCTTGACCCTGGCAAGCTCGTTGGCGATGCCGGCGTCACCGGGAGCCAGCTTCTCGGCTTCCTGGAGGTCCTTCAAGGCCTCATCCTCTTCCTTCAGACCGCTGTGAGCCACAGCACGGCGGTAGTAGGCCTTGGCCTTGTCGGCATCCTTCGCATTAGCTGCATTAGCGGTCTCCAAGGCGTAGGTAGCCCAGGTCCGACCGTTCCCGTACTGTGCCAGCTTGTTGGCCAGAAGGGACGAGTTGGAGTGCAGGGCAAACCGGAGAGTCTTGATCTGGCCATCAAGCTCCTTAGGGTCATTCTCAGCAGGCTCAGGGAACTCTTGCAAATAGCGCAGACCCTTCTGGTACTTCTCCAGACCAAGAGCAATGTTACCGCTCTTGAACGCGGTGTTTCCGTAGTTCTTCAATTCCGTCGCAATCTTGAAGCAAACCGGGGCACTCAGCTCCTCGCCCTGGTGGTCGTCGGGGAAATCCTCATAGGGGTCGCCGGTAGCATCAGGGGTTTGCTTGTCAGCATTATCGTAATCCTCGCCCGTGAGCTCACCACACTCAACAATGCTGACGTCCTTGACGGGTTTGTCTGCCTGGGTGTTCATGTTCTCGACTTTGCGGACGATACTCTTTCCGTTGATCACTTCACCGAAAACAACATGCTTGCCATCCAGATGAGGGGTGGGGACAGTCGTGATGAAGAACTGACTGCCGTTGGTGCCGGGGCCGGAGTTGGCCATGGAGAGGAGGAATGGTCTGTCATGCTTGAGCTCAAAGTTCTCGTCGGGGAATTTCTCGCCATAGATCGATTCGCCGCCGGTGCCGTTGAATGCAGTGAAGTCACCACCCTGGATCATGAATTGCTTGATGACACGGTGGAAAATCGAACCTATGGGGTGGAGGTTAGGACGTCTGCGCCGTGGGATGCAGAAGCGGGGTTACACGCCGTACCCTTAAAATGCAATGGCTTGCCCTGCTTCCCCATGCCCTTCTCTCCGGTACAGAGAGCACGGAAGTTCTCTGCAGTCTTGGGAACGACTGTACAGGGTCAGTATTTGTGTAGCAAGAAAAATCTCCGTTGGCAATGGGACTGACCATCGTTGAACTGTGAAAGGCGGGGTAGTTAGCAAAGGCTGCTGTACAACCATGAGCGACCGGGGGCGGATGGTATTTATAATTAACGTACCAATTCCAGGGCAATACGGCCAGCTTTTTCGTTGCCAATCTGGATGTCAAAGAAGACACGAGGACGACCTGTATCTCGAATGCGATCAGTACTAGGCTTGCGATGTGAGGGCGGAACCCCACAGCGGAGAAAAAGAGCAAAAACGCACGCTGAGAGTCAGCCATGGTGAGCAGTGTGGGAGGTACAAAGTTCGGACGGAGTAGAGAATTAGGTTGGAAAAGTGGATCAGTAAATAGATTGAGGTGGTTCAGGTCGAGAGTCAGTAGAGGAAGCGCGAAGGGGAGGGTGAGGTAGAGAAGTGGACTGGAGCTGAAGGCAGTAAGAATGGGAACGAGTGATGCTTCAGGAAGCTTCCATTGATCACGGGTCTCCGCACCATGCAATTCTTAGCACAATAACACTTACCTGTATTCGTCGTTCTTCCATTCATACAGTCTAGACTACTAGTAGATCCAACGAATCATTCAACGGATGTCAATCGATCATTGGCGGTTTCTTTTCATGGATCTTAGAATCACTAATGACATTCATTAATCCCCCCCTCCCAAAGTCTATCAATCTATTTACCAACCCGGGTATAAAAAATAGAAAGAAAGAAAAACGACAAAAAAAAAAGAAAAAAAAGAGAAAAGAAATTAACAAGAAAGGCATCATATCTGTAATACCGAAATATAACCTCCATTATTCCAACAACTCAGGAGGCAATTTAATTTCAATATTTCTCTGAACCGGTTGCGACGGCTCTTCCTTCCCCGATTTCTCCCTCTTCGGCAACTGGGTGTTGATCTCGATCGTAACCTATTGATTTCCCTATCCGTCAGTAACCCATTCAATAGAAACGTTAAGGAGCAGCATAAGAACGAGCAATAGCTATACCGCTGCATCGTCACTGCGGTAATCTACACCCACCGGCCCATCGTTCTTCAATTCGACCTCCATCATCGCCTGGAAGATACCGTTCTTGACCCGCTCGGGCTTGTAGGCTTCCCCCAGTCGTCGGAAGAAGTAGTCGTACAGTTTGCGTGCAGTCTCCGCGTCAGCGGCGTCGTGGAAGTCTGGTTGCTTGCCCTTTTTCAACTGGCCATAGAGTGTAAATTGCGATACTGCGACGGTCAGCAAGCACAATCTGGATACCGTTGAAGCATAACCACATACCGCAGAGAACCTCTCCGTCAATATCCTGGATATTTCGCTTCCACTTTGCGCCGAATGATATCCGTCAGAACCAATCCATCTTGTTACCGGCAAGCCAGTCGGCGAGTGGCTTACCTGCTTATCTTCCTCGCTTGGGAACAACTTGGCTTTCAGTATCCGCTGTATTAACGTATCTGCATCCTTCTCTGTGTCTTCCTTTCCAACCCCTGCCAGTACGAGCAGTCCTCTACCGATCTTAGAGACTAGCTGGCCATCGACTGTAACCGATGCGGATTTGACTCGCTGTATAACCGCTGGCGTTCGTTTAGTGGAGGTGTCGTGGAAGGAGATGAATTAGTGACGAACCCTTCATAGTGGGATTTATCTGGCCAATAGGCGTATATATTTGTCACAAGTGGAACAAAGAGGGTTATAAAGAATGCGAACAAACTGTATTCATAAGATTAATTAGCTAAAGAACATAGCACTCGAGGACCCTATTGTTCACAGCGTTTATAGATCTGTAGCCGCTTGCTGCAACGGAGCTGTCACTTACCGTGAAGATTCACAACACAAGTGGGTTCAAGGTCGGCGACTAGAAGACCACCAAGTCGCATCTGCAAGGCGAAGCAAAGAAGCCGGGAATTCTTATAGTCCCTCGAGGCAGAATGATCGGCCAAGAAAGAGGAGAAACGAAAGACAGATGGCCGGAGGAAAGTCAAGTGGCTCCCGCACCGCACTGAATAACCTAAGGCACACACTTAAGGTATCTACAAACCGATTTCAATACTGAATTACGCCGCCCGTCAAGTCTTGGCGCCAACTGAGCTCTTCGACAGGCGCTGGATCCATACCACATATCAGGAGATTGTCTATTCTTCACCCCCAGGACTTCTCTTGACAATCAATTAACTCACTCATCCCCCGCGCACACGTCCTTCAATTTAGGACAAAGTTGCCCGGCAACCTTGATCCTTATTGACACCCACGGAATTCCCAGACATCGAGTTCATACGAATCCCCCCATCCGCCCTACCTTTCTCCGCTTCCCACCCACCCTGAACCCACACCTCAAGTACAATTTTCAGCCTCCTTCCGTGGCCATCTGTTCATGTGAACAGCAGCCATGACATCGCGAAAGACGCAACAAGAAATCGACAAAACCTTCAAGAAGGTCGCCGAAGGTATTCAGTCGTTCGAGGGCATCTACGAGAAGATCCGCTCCACGTCAAATCCGACCCAAAGGGATAAGCTCGAGGAGAACTTGAAACGGGAGATCAAGAAGCTCCAACGATATCGCGATCAGATCAAGTCATGGGCATCGGGCAATGAGGTCAAAGACAAGGGACCGCTGCTGGAGCAGCGCCGAGCCATCGAAACTGTGGGCTAACGATTCCCCGACAAATCCTGCCCTCCAACGGCGTATCGGACTTGCGAGTAGCTAACACAGGTGCAGTGTATGGAGCAGTTCAAAGCTGTAGAAAAGGAAATGAAGACGAAAGCATACTCGAAAGAGGGCCTTTCGGCCGCATCCAAACTCGATCCGAGAGAGAAGGAAAAGGTGGAGACATGTGACTTCTTATCGAGTATGGTCGACGAGTTACAACAAAAGATTGAGGCCATGGAAGCTGAGGAAGAGACGCTTCATGTGCAGATGAAGAAGGGTAGGAAGGATGTCGCCAGGGCCAACCGATTAGCGGATCTTACGCGGATAACGGAACGACATAAGTGGCATGTCAATAAGCTGGAACTCTTGCTACGATCGCTGCAGAACGGCAACGTGGAGGTAAACCAAGTGTTGGACTTGAAAGAAAGCATAAAGTACTATGTAGAGGACGGGCATAATGTGGACTACTCTGGCGAGGATGAGACCCTTTATGATGACCTGAATCTAGATGGTGAGACTGAGGCACAGTTCGGCATGACGGGTGACAACGACCGGGTGTCATCGCAAGATACACAATCTGTCCAAGACGAAGAGCTGGACTTGAAGCCGAAACCCATCAAGAGCGAGCCCCCGGCGCCTCGAAGACCCTCAACGCAGATGAAATCGCCGCTCCCAGTGCTTGCGACGCTACATCCGTCGACGTCCACCAGTGCCACCTCTGGGATGAAGCCCGCACCACCGCCCACCCGTCTACCTGGGGAGACCCTCAAATATGCCTCCGCGGCGGCCGCGGCGGCCGCCAGCGATAAGAACGGGGTTGGCATTGCTCCCCTTCCTCCACCACTGGGTGCCAGTCCTGCTTTCCCCGCCGCCAGCTTGGCCTCGAGACCTTCGTCGACTGCTTCCCCTAGCATTGCCTCGGTACAACCTGTATCTAAGCCGACCGCGACGGCCAGTATCGCTTCGGAGGAGCGGTCTAAGACGCCCGCGCTCAGCCCCAATGTCACCGCCGCGAGTGCGTCGAATACGGTGCAGTCGACGCCTGCGACCAAGAAGGCGGAGACCTCAGCCACCAAGGAATCACAGCCAACGGTGAACGGTGATGCGAGCAAGGAAGAGTCGCGCGAGGAGGATTCGATATACCACCTGCCTCCGGGGCTACAAGATCTGATCCATTCCTTTGAGGTGACCAAGAGCCGAGCGGCAGCACAAAGTTCCACAAACCCCCCTCCTTCAGTGCAACGGCTCCTTACAGCATCTCTCAACACCTGTCCCGAGCCGGCGGACGCAGAAAAGCCCCGTCACTATAAGCCTCAGAACCCGTACAATACCCCTCTTTATTACCCTCAAGAGCCGCTTGCCATCTTCGATGACCCCCGGTTATACGACACGGGGCGGATCGATACGGATACACTGTTCTACCTGTTTTATTACCGACAAGGCACATATCAACAATTCTTGGCGGCCAAAGCGCTCAAGAACCAAAGTTGGCGATTCCACAAGCAGTACCAGACCTGGTTCCAACGGCACGAGGAGCCCAAGACCATCACGGAGGAATTTGAACAAGGGACGTATCGGTTCTTTGATTACGAGAGTACATGGTGAGTGGAGTCTGTTCTTTCGCTTCTCCTTTTTCCTTTAATCATTTTCCTCCTTTTGCCTTTTTGTCTCCCATTGAAGTTGTTTTACATGTCGGAGTCCCATCTCCGAGATGTCTCGGACAAACTGCTAACCCAGCACACAGGATGAACCGTCGTAAGGCCGACTTCAAGTTTGTCTACAAGTACCTGGAAGACGAACTATAATGCGGCTTTAGTCTCCTTGTTTCTTTTGAGTTCGTGTATGTATGGTAGACATTCGGTCCAATGATTTGCGGTGTGGTTATGGGTCATCTACACTGGAGACGGGCATTGAGTTTCAGATCGTTCGGGTTGCCGACGGATGGGCGTCTGTCATTTCATTTGACTTTTTTTCTTTTTCTCCCTTTTTTTTCACTTCTTTGTGTTTGCGAGATTTCTTCAGGAACGAGTAAACGACTGGGACTGCGGGACAGGGGGAGTTCTGCGCTGATCTTGCGTGGCGGCTGATGGAATATACAGCCATGTCTTATGCACACACTGTTGGGTTGGCCCCTTGAGGAATGCAACCATCGTCCAAAGATCTTTGACCGGTGATGATTCTTACTGCATCCGTTCCGTGTTCAGACTCGTCTGGACCGAGTCTGGCGTTCTGGAATCCGTAGCGATTAGGAGAAGCGTAGCCCGAAGCAGCAATCCGAGCCGCCGGGGTGGCTCGCGATCACCCAAGGTTGGACAGATGAAGCCGAGTCTGCATCCACCTTGGGGGAGCGTTCACCATTGGGATGGTTTCTCGCTATCGGACAAAGAAGAAGCAAAGATGAAACAGTAGTAGAGAAGTAAACGTTCGGCTAGGGAACGGTTGCTGCTATAATTATTGCTCGTATTATTGGACGAGCGGGATGAACCTACGGTCAGCTATCACGAGTAGTAGTAGTAGTAGTAGTCGGTACCAATCGTGAGTTATGGTAGGAGGAGGAGGAACGACCAGAGAGGTTCAACAGCTATGACTAAGGTTAGGGCGATCACCGGACTTGGACCTTTTACGCTTTCTGTGCCCGACACACAGACAACAAGATAACCACAAAGGGCAACAATTGATTTCTCCGTCTTTCTCGCTCTCTCTCTCTCTCTGTGTGTGAGTGTCGTGTCTTTCTGGGTGTCTCTCGCCCGTCCGCCTCACTCACCGTCGAGTCATTTGCTAAACGCAAATTAAAAGCCTCAAAAAATAATTAAATGACGGTCAGACTAAAAGTACCTCACCTCTTCAAAAATCCCTCACGGAACGATTCAAAGTTCCCCCTGCATGGACTAGTAGAATTACTTCTTACGGAGTGGCTGGTGGAAGGAAGAGAATCATCGACCATCAATCAGTCGATTGTGAGTGGTAGTACCAAAGACATCAGCATCAGCATCATCATCCAGGACTGTACGTCCGTCGAAAGGTGCAAGTGGGCTGTGCGGCTGTCTTCCCCGTCACCGGGTAGGCACTAGCAGTCGTTTACCAGTGTACCAGTTGGACCAAAAGATACCGGGGACAATCTCGTTCCATCCATGGAATTCGATCCGAAAATCCATGTTCCCAATTGAATTAATTTTTTCTTTCTGAATGGAACCGGATGCCTTTTCATTATGTGGTTCTTTTATTAGGAGAAAAGTAAACCTTGACTTCCATGAATTCTCTCCCCCAGACTTTGTGTTCACCGAATCAACCTGGGGCTTGGCGCCAGACCCGGCGTCTCCACTGCCACAAGGCTGTCGAATCGCTGATTTTCGTCTCGAGGAATCAAAGAAAATGTGTCGGAAAACGTGCCGACCTGGAAAATCAGGTTGGGTGTTCATGCCTTATCCCCATGTTCATCAATCATGTACGGGACTGTCGCTGGGTCGGTATCAGGAACAATCATAGTGCCTCTTCATTATCCTAATTGTACTAATAATAATCTCTTCATGATCTTAAACTTCCACCGGTAAGAATGATTTTAAAAATAATAAAAATAATACTAATAATACTATAAAACAATATCTCTACCAGAAAATACAAAATAAAATAAATAAAACAAAGATAAAATAAAATACCATCAATAAATCATAAAAAATAATCCAGTCAAGCACAAAAGTCAGAACCCGAATCGGGTAAAGTCAGGCAGATGACTGTCCAAAGCCATCGGTGGCATCAGAGCACCCGCATCTCTTGCCTGCGACGGAGATACTAACCACAATCTCCTCGGAGCACAATCCCCCTCCGTCTACGGTGGATACAACGACAACAATAACAACAACAGCAACCGCTCATCAAGGGAATTCATCAGTGCGTTCCGATCAGTGAGGGAAAATCAAAAAAAACAAAAAAAAAAACAACCCACGGTCCAAGCCTTTCCTGACGAATGAGACCCGGTCAAAACAGGCGGAGGGAAGACTAGTAGGATGTCCGTTTAGGGCAAGACTCTAGTCGGGGGCCATGTCTGCCTTATTGGCTTCGAAGGGTCCACCGATACTTGGACCTTGTGGGGTTGGATTTAGTGCGCCTGGGACGATGATGTAAAGTTCAAGCAGGAAACATCATCATCTGTGGTGTTACCTGTTGTCAGTTATTCCTTATCGGCCCGTGTTTGCAGTGCCCCTGGGGCTGGATCTACCAATCATCCCCTGCCAGGACATCACCGGTCAATTCCACTCTTCCCCTAGAAGCCTGGCAGAACCTTCGATCCTTTCTAGCGGCGTTCTTAGCGTCAGCAACGCAAGGACGCTTCACTTCCGCTGTGCCAATGAGACGCATCCGCGGTTCGTGGCAGTGCGTCGCAGTCGTTCCCGACTGCATGCCCCCCCGGCCAATATTCATGTCGATTTCCTGCATGGGTCCCCCCAGCTAGCATTCTTAGTCGTTGATCGTGGAGCTGTTGCTCACCTGATGATGTCGCCATGGATCTCCTTCGTGTTATTAACACGCCAGACGGGTCCCCTAGTCAGACATCGTTGTGGAGAAAGCGCGGTTTGCTTTGCTCTACTCCATGTGCAACGTACAAACCTCGAGATACTCGCCTTATATAAAGACTCAACTGCCCCCCAAACCTGGGGATGCTTACCCACTGACCTTCAATAAGTTTCGAACTCAACCGCGATTGACTTGACCAACCTACTGGATTCCTTCCTTTCTTTTTCCCAGTATACATAATGTTGCGTTACTCTTCTCCAATGGTATGCAAAGGATACACTGTTTGATCATCTCCTTTTCTGTTTCTGTTTCTGTTTCTGTTTCTTTTTCTTTTTTTCCCGTTTTCTGTGTTCTGATGGCCTGTCTGATAATAAATGTGACAATATATTTATGGCTACCTTGCGTACTTGCACAGTACACATGAACCGCATCAGTAACTCAACTAACCGTCGCGCTTCAGAATCCTCATGCTGCGGCATGCCCTCCCATGGAGCACTCCTACTCGACCAGCAGTGAGGAGTCCATGCAGTCTCCGATGGGATACTATGATGTGTACAGCATGGCGAGCAATGATTTTGAGCTCTACCACGCCCAGTCCAACGCATCCTCGTATTCTTCCTCCTATCCATCTTCCAACTATTCCTACTCCTCCTCATTCGGCTCCTCCTACGACTCGGGCTCTTTCGAGGCGTCTTCCTACGACTCTGCCTCCTACGACTTTACCACGCCTCCGCCCGTCTACTGCCCACCGGATCTCAATCCACAGTTCGCCCCACAGTACTTTTCCTCCCCCGTTCCGGGCACCTGGCCCACTCCCCCTGCGCAGGTCGCCCCTGTGGAGGATTTCCCCTACCCTCCACTGGAGACCCACTTCACGCCGTGCGAGACAGCTAAGTAAGTCTCGAGCCATGGAATAGGTTCAGCCATCTCATTTCGCAAAGATGCTAATTTGTCTGTCTAGACCGGCGAAGCCCTACGTCTGTGAGTGCGGCCGGGCGTTCACTCGACCGGCGGACCTGAAGCGGCACGAGTCCAGCGTCCACAACCCTGTCTTCCAGGACTGCCCGGTGCAGGGATGCATCCGCAAGGACAGCAATGGTTTCCCGCGTCGAGACCACTTGATTGAGCATCTGCGGTCGTACCACCATCTCAACGTGCCGAAGCGCCGTGCGGCTACTAAGCGGGTGGCAAAGGCGGCTTAAGATGCGACACGGTGATGTCTTGGCTACCCTCTCCTGCATGGGCTTGGGCCCTTTTGCAATGGTTGTTCATTGGCTTCAGGGCAGTGATCTGCCGTATGTGACTGCGTGACATGCTTGGCCCCTCGTCCTCCCCTGGACAGATTTCTTTGTCTATACCTTATCCCCTGGTTCATACTCTGCATGTCTATGCTTGTGTCCACTATCTTTCCTTCGTCTGCATCGTCCACCCGGACGATCCGCATCCTCTTTTTTTCTTTTTTTTTTTTTACTGTGTTTTTGATTTCAGGTTCATGTATTGATGACGACTCATGTACGGATACCAGACCGGCGTTAACGCGATAGACGGTGCATTGTATCGTCTGGGGTTTGCTTTCATTTCACTTCTTCGAGCATGACATGGCCGTCTCTGAGGGACTCAGGACCGCAGACCACATGTCCCTTAATTTTTTTTTTCTTCTTCTTCTCTTCTCAGTCCCCCCTTTAATTCTCATTCCCCCCTTTTTTTTGTTTTCTTTTTGTCTTTTCATATTTACCTTTCCATCAAGCTCAAGCTTCAAGATACACAAGACCAACGGCGTCCGGGAGTTAATGACATTACATTAATCCAATAAACCCACTTATGTAACAAACTTGTGCTACACCGTCGGCAATTCAGTATCAAAAGCGCACTAGCCCTAGAGACGCTTGTAGTAGCCTTAGCCACCAGAACTAAGACCGACACTAAAGCAAGCAAGCAAGCAAGCCCAGTCCCCAGTCCCAAGCAAGAGAAAGCGAAGAGAGAGAGAGAGAGAGAGAGGAAAAAAGATCCCTTTGTTCCCTCCCCTCGGGCCCCCAAATGCCGCAGTCAATCATACCCTCCCAAAAGAAGATTTTCTTTATCCTCTCCCCACAGCTACTACTACAACAACAACAACAACCCGCCACCGCAATATCAACAACCAAGGAACCTCCTCCGGCCCCCCAAAAAAAAAGAACAAAAAACACAACTCCAAAAGAAAAAAGAAAACTCAAGTGCTACAAAAATAGTTACACCGTCAGCTGGGACGATCTCCAACCTTATTTTTGAACTCCGTTTAGCCAGGTACAGGTCTGCTTCCACTGAGTGGATCCGACGATACGGTTGACACTTCCTTTGGGGACGGCGAACAAAGAAAAGATGGATCTGCTGCGTTGGACTGGGGGGCAGGAAGCCGTCAATGGTCACTTACTGGGGACATGCTGAGGGGAAGTTTGGTGGTTTATACTGGGCTTGGGTTGATTTTGGGGGGGGTGGGTGTTTCATGTTTTATTTTTATTTATTTTTATTTTTATTTTCTTGCCCTCTGGTACATACATACATACATACATACATACATGCATACAGTACTTGGATCATTAAGGATGGCGGCTGGTCTTACTCTGAGACAGCACTTGGCAGGAACAAGACAGACCGGCCTTGCATGAAAGAGATATGAATAGAAGAGAATCGATTCTTACATACAAGTTGGGATAAAAAAAAAAGTAACAGCCATTCTTCACGTCAACATTCTGAGTTTCAAGGACACTTGGGTAAACAAGATGGTGGATTGCCTTTCCCAGCCACCACCCCACCCCCGGTGAGAAAGAAAGAAAGAAAGAAAGAAAGGAAAGAAAGAAAAGAAAGAAGCCCAGCATCAAGATGATGTAGGAAAATTCACAAAACACTCTCCCTTCGCTCTCCACCGTCCTTCCCCCGTCCCCGTTCCCTTCGTTCGTTCTTTCGACGAGGCCACCCACTCAAACCCCACCCCCTCCTCTTCGAGCATCGCGCGCTTCCTCTCCAGATTCGCATGCCCGCTCGCCGGCCCTGCTCCCATGTACCCACCCAGCCCGCCGTCGGCGCTGAGCACCCGGTGGCAGGGCACGTCCGGGGCGAACGGGTTCGTCCGCATGGCGGTGCCGATGGCGCGCGCGCTGGAGTGGAGATGCGTAGCAGCGCGGAGTAGGTCGTCCAGCGCCGGCGGGGATGGAGAGGAGGGCTAGGTAGACGCGCCGGGCGGTGGGGGGTTAGGGTTGGGTGGGAGTTTTATGCGGTGGATCTGTCGGAGGATGGTTGGGTTTGGGGGGGTGGTTGTGGATTGGGTTGCAGACGGGGATGGGGATGGGGATGGAGATGGAGATGTGGCTGGGGTGAGGATGTTTGGGGGTTGTGGTAGTTTGGTGGTGGTCATTATTGTTCTGGGGGGGTTGATTGCGGTTCTGTTGTGTTGTGTTAGGTTATTGTTTGGAGGTTAGAGGGACTGGGTGGGTTAGGTGGTTGTATTGCTTGTATGTGTTACTGGAGTTACGCACCTCGGTGATGATGTTGGGCTGGTTTTATTTATATAACTTGGAGAACGTGAGGTGGGGAGGAGGTCGTGTGGTTTTTATATGCTTCATCTCATGGATGGCCGTGGATGATGTTGATGTTGTTGTGGAACTGACCAATCAGGTGTTGCGGTGCGATCGACCGGACGGCACCTCACGAGGATTGACGATCCATCCCAACGATATGATATACGAGGAGTAGTAGGAACCCCGGTAAAGATACGATTGACAGACTGCGTTGCTAGAAAAGAGAAGAGAAGAGAATGTCATTGACGACCAGTCTTTGCAGTATGCCGTCGGTTATATCGCATAAATGGGTATCCCTGATCTACATGTATATTACTGCGCGGTATGGCCTTGTCAACCGTCAACTCGTGGAGTCATTCCTCATCCATCCGTGTAGAAAGCCCCGCCACTACGCGCTCGAAGCATGCTCCTCATGCGCATCAGTCGGCTTGCCCATCTCCGGGTCCACCGCGCTGTTCTTGCGGTTGGCTGCTTCAATGTACCCCGGATTTTCCGCCTTGAGACGCGCGAACGTGCGCTCGGCATCCCACACCCACGGCGTGTCGGCAGCAAATAGCAAGTCCATGTCCTCCAACGTCCGCTGATTACTCTCAGGATAAAGAGCCCATACCATCGGGATGGTGATGACGTTGCTGGCCGCGAAGACATACAGTGTCTTTTCGCCGATGGCCTCGAACATCACCGGACACAACAGAGTCTAGCCAATCAGTCAGGGAACTTCTCAGGCAGCTTGCAGGGCACTTCTTACCAGCCAACCGTTTCCAATACTCCATCCCACAACACCCCAGGCGTTTCCTTTTGCGCGGACCGCTAATGGATAGATCTCAGCAGGATAAATCCAGGGCACTAGTCCAGTTAGCAGAGCCAGCAGAAGCCGTGGAAGCATTCTACGTACCCGTCAACCACGTAGCTCCGAAGACAGAAGTGAAAATGAAGACCATCGACGCAGCGGCAGCGCCAAACGAGTTAGCACGAGAGAGATTTCCATCGGCCCGCGCATCAATGGCAAGCCGGGAGAAGCCTCCGGCTAGGAACATGGCGATACCCTGCGCAGTGGATCCCCAATACAATGTGTACCTACGACCAATCCGATCGAGTGTGAAGACACAGATAAGGGTCGCGAACTAGCCCCGTCAGTCTTGTCATTGCAGCGATGTTCTGGCCATCTTACCATATAGAAGACATTATTCAAACCGCTGATCCACTGGCTCTTCATCGAGTCGAATCCAGCAATGCTAAAAATAGTTGGCGCGTCTACACTCGTCAGCCATGCGCTTGTAGGGTGGGGTTCAAGTAGACATACAAACGGTGACACCAGCAATGCCGACCCATTCCTGCATGATCTGCAGCCAGACCACCAGTTGCACACGTCGGCCAAGATGTAGCTTGCCTGTTTTGTAGCCGAAGAGCATCGCCAAGTAAGAGGTGCTATGGTTCATGCTCTTTTCCATCTCGGCCACGTTTTGGATGTCCAGAAATTCGGCCTCGGCGCGAACTGCATCTTCATCACTGCTTCCACGCAGCCGACCAAGAATGTAGCGCGCTTCTTGCTCGCGACCAACCTTAACTAACCACCGGGGGGACTCTGGGAAAAACCAAACAACGACAAACAGTAGGAGTAAAAAGATAATCTGGAACGCGATCGGGAATCGCCAGCGGAATGGAGACCTTCCACCATCGATGAAAGACAGTCCACTAGAACCGGTTAGACCAATCTAGATGCTTGGAAGGTTAAGACCTACAATTCCAGCCAATAAGCTAGGACGACACCGAAGATGTTCAGAGTAAATTCGATTGCAATGAATTGTCCTCGGGATGTATGCTCAGCAGTCTCTGTCGCCCAAACTGGGACAATTGCGTTCAGAATACCAGTGCCAATTCCGTTGATAAAGCGCGCTGAGTAGTTGTGAGTCTATGGGGTCTGAGGGGGGTTCATCTGGAGTTGGCTCACAGCATATCATCCAATTGTGGTTTTGTGCGGAACACTGCAATGCAGCACCAAGAATAGCCCAGAGAGCGCCTGTCGCAATGGTCTTGATCCGGCCAACACGATCTCCTGTCCAGCCACCAAGGAGTGCGCCGAACAATGTCCCCAGATAATAGACTGACACGATTCCACCTTGCAGCAGACTGTCTGTGACAACTGGGGTGAGGTGGCCGTCCTTCATCTCGGTGTAACCGAATCCCATGAGGTCGATGTAGTCTGCCGAATTGTTGACCCCTGCCATCATGCCCTGGTCATATCCGAAGAAAAGAATTGACAACGCCGCAACGCTGTTGATGCCAATGAGAAGCTTGCGCTTCTCCAATCTGTGGACAACATTCCACTTGGGTATCTGGTCGCACATGGCGAGGACTCAATGTTTCGAAAATTAGCTGCGAATGATGGATCAATGCCCCAATAAAGGGTGTACTTCAGGGCCCTCCGCTTCTCGCCCAGATCGCTTGACTGGAAGATTAAGGGACAAATAGTACCGCCAGAGATCTTCCACACACACACACACACACCTGTGGGGTGATACGAGCTCTATATATGCGTTTGCCGAAAAACAGCAATCGGCCGATGGCCGACGGCTATTTTGTCCTGCATAGTGATCGACCAGGCCATGGGATGATAATCGAGGCCACTCTGAATCGAATTAGGTTACATTCCGTGTGGGAGAAACCTAGAAGACTGGGTTGGAGACATAGCACATGCAAGGTCGTTGATTTTCTCCACCGAGATATACGATGTTACTCGCCAAACGGCCCCGCAAGAAAAAAAAATCTGGAGATAGCGAAGGCCGGATTTGGCTCCAGACCGGGACGATACGAATCAAAATCGGTAATCCGGGCGGCGGGAAAAACGATGCCATTGATATTTGGACCGGCTTTCTCAACCGGGAAGAGAACCCGGAAATTTTCACCACACTTCATCTCCAACGAAAAGCGACTTTTGCACAAGAGAAAGATTATAGCCTGACAGCGCTAGCCGAGGACATGTTCGACTCGGTTAAACCCCCATTGTGACAGGAGAGCGTTCATTGCGTCAATTGGTGAAGATCACTTCGAGAAACGCGGTCCAGGGACGATGACATAACTTGAGCGCCAATCCCGATGGAAGGATCCAGTAGTTATGGGCGTGAAGATTGACGAATTCAGGCGTTGGCCAGTGCCACCCTCCATTGCGGGGATTCTGGGGATCTTTTGAGTGGGGAATTTGAGGGAGAAAATGGAAAAGTTGTTCGGGACTTCCCCGACAATGACCAGGTGACTCGGAACACCTGATTCCCAGGTGACTTTTACCCTTTTATCCTTTTATTATTATTATTATTATTTTAAATCTTTCTACAGTTCCCTATGTGTAAGGCTACATCCATGGCTCGAATCTCTTCTTGAGTCCATGCGCCGGTCGGACGCTGATTTGCCTCCGACATGTCAGGCACATCCTCAACTCACCTAATTCCCTTACTAGACATTACCCATACGCGATTTGAAAAATAATCCTGTTTCCTAATCTTCGATATACACGAATAGGTGCACCCAAACGAGACGGGAAAGCCGATATGCGCTCCAATCAACCTCATGGCTCATGGCTCTCAACAGTGAAACTCCGAGTCACCTTAGGATGTATCTCCATACTCGTCGGAGTTCTACTCGTTCACGTGCCCATGCTCCTTGAAGGCTTTCTGGAGGATATCAAGTATCACAAATTCCTTGCGGGCATTGTACTCCATCACGGTTTCCCCGGCCAATCGACTAGCGGTAGCTGCCTGCCGTTTGACATCTGCATATCTTCGGCGGTCGTCCTCATGGTTACGCAACCAGTCACGGAACAGCCGATGGCGAATGTGTTCCGCGCTATTCGGACCAAATATATGGATATTCGCGTATGGGTTATTGAAGCCGAAAAGGCGATGTTCATACCAGCCAGGTTCGCGAAGCAAGAACTGAAAGCCCGCGGCCTCAAGGGCTGGCACGTAGGAGTCTTCCGCCGTGGGATCGGCAACGACGATGTCAACATCGATAACCGCTTTGGCGGGTAACCCTGGCACGCTGGTTGACCCGACGTGCTCAATAGAGAGAAATCGGTTACCAAGGGCATCAGTAATCCGGCGTGCAATATTCGCAAACGACTCCGGCCATGTTGGATCTGGCTCCACGATTTCAATCAACTTTTGCGGCCGGGTTGAAATGATTTCGACAACGGCCGGCGTTTGAGACAACTCTGTAATCTCACCCGTGGAGGACATCCTGATAGCAAGCAAGGTCTTATGGTAATATAAATCTTACCGATGATGTTGCAGCTAGATCATACCTTCGGTGATCTTGAGGACAGTATTGCGCAAGATGGCATAAGCTGGATGACTCAGACCAAGATCAATGACAATTCCCCAGACTCGTATTAGGCCCCCCAATAACTGGAGCGCAGCTAGTAACAATAAGGTATAGTCATTTCCCTGGATTCTTTGAGGACAAGGGACTTCCATATTGGACCATACTGCCTCCCCGTATACTGGTCTTTAGCGATTCGATGTCACGAACTTCGGTGTTTCTTGGCACCCCTTCAACTTGTTTTCCGCCATTCTAGTCGCGTTGAACGGTTGAGATTCCTATATCTACTTAGATCAGCAGATGTTTGATTTCAGCTACACAGGAGCTTGAACCCTTGCAGCTTTGAAGCTCCATCGAAAACAAACACCCTTGTGGCCAGTATTTACATGTGGACATTTGTACTGTTCAAAAAATCGACCATGCCTAACAACCCCAACCGACGTGGCCATCAGAAAAACCATCAGGGCAATCCTGCATAGTAAGTATCACAAATGGCGTCTTGGGGTTAGAAGTATGAAAAGGTCTTGTTGTCGGGGAACAGCGAGAGACATACTTCGATTACGTTATTTACCAAGCAGGTGACTTGGGTCTCACTGGAAAGATGCCGACGATAACCTTAAGGGTGTAATACTGATTCCACGTTACCCGCGGAGAACACGCGACATCCTATACGTCCATTTTTTGCCTTTATCTAAGTTGATAATTCATACCAAAAGAATGGCCAATGTTGCAAGATGCGAGGGATCTTCACTGAATTTGCATGGTGTTAGTCATCGTAAGTCAAGCGTCGCTTTCCCTTTTAGGTGGTTTATGAGGTATTTATGGTTCACCGGTCCGCTGACAAAGCGTCGCAGAATGTCTTGAACCCTCCGTACACCACCGTATCGGACCTAGATAGAAGGCCTGGAATGTCTGGCGAGGATGGCCAGGAAGAGATACAAGAGCCCAATGACCTCATGCCCAGCTGAACGAGAGACAATCCACATATACGGCGTATGCGCCATACCACTGGGTCGGCAATATGGCAAAGGTTAGCCGAATTGACCCGAAGATCACTGGCCTGGATAATTACATACGCGGCGGAATACCGTATCAATACCGGCCCGCCAGCTTCTGCTGGCAAAACCTCAAGAAAGCTTCTTGTCCCAACATCCTTTTTCCCTATACTATACCCTCCTTCCTTCTACCACCTGCAATTGCTGCCTCACCTTTCCTCTCCACCTGCTTTAATTGGAGGATTGGCTGTCCATTATAATCTCTATCTTTCTTGTTTTTTTCTTCTCTAATTCCCCATCGTTGTCGCCATGTTCCGGAGTCTCTTGCCGCGGGCTGCACCGCGGGCTGCCCTCCGCACTGCTCGCCCTCAGCCTGTCCCTTCTAACTTCGTCACTGCTCCTACCCTCTCCATCTTCTCGAAACGTGGCTACGCCTCCGAGTCTGGTATGTGCCCGGTTTTTCCCCTGCGCTAGAACGGCCAGGAACAGGACCTGCGCTTCCGAAAACGGTGAGATAGGTTACTGATGGGCGTTGGGATAGGTGAACATGACCTTGTTATCATCGGTGGTGGTGTCGCTGGATACGTTGCTGCCATCAAGGCCGGTCAGGAAGGCTTGAAGGTGTGCTCAAATTCTCGGTATACCTCGATCGGAGATTTTCTGCTAACCACGGAGCTCGCCGACAGACTGTCTGTATCGAGAAGCGTGGTCGTCTTGGAGGCACCTGCTTGAACGTCGGCTGTATCCCCTCGAAATCTCTCTTGAACAACTCCCACCTTTACCACCAGATTCTCCACGATACGAAAAAGCGCGGTATTGAGGTCGGTGATGTCAAGCTGAACCTCGAGCAGATGATGAAGGCCAAGGATACCTCCGTCGAGGGTCTGACGAAGGGTATTGAGTTCTTGCTCAAGAAGAACGGTGTCGACTACGTCAAGGGTACTGGTGCTCTTGTTGATCCTAACACTGTCAAGGTGAACCTGCTTGAGGGTGGTGAACAGACTCTTCGCGGAAAGAACATCCTCATCGCCACCGGTAGCGAGGCCACTCCTTTCCCCGGCCTCAACATCGACGAGAAGCGCATCATTACTAGCACCGGTGCTCTTTCGCTGCAGGAAGTTCCCAAGAAGATGGTTGTCATTGGTGGTGGTATCATCGGTTTGGAGATGGTATGCTTGCAACTTTTTGCAATGTGAGAGGCTTGAGACATCAAACTCCATACTAACGTTGGTGACAGGCTTCCGTTTGGTCGCGTCTCGGTGCCGAAGTTACCGTTGTTGAGTTCCTGAACCAGATCGGTGGACCTGGTATGGATGCAGAGATTGCCAAGCAGGCTCAAAAGATCCTGTCGAAGCAGGGCATCAAGTTCAAGACCGGCACCAAGGTCATGAATGGTGATGACAGTGGCGCTACTGTTTCGATTAACGTCGAGTCTGCCAAGGGCGGCAAGGAGGAGACCCTGGACGCTGACGTTGTCCTGGTTGCCATCGGTCGCAGACCTTACACCGAGGGTCTTGGCTTGGAGAACGTTGGTATTGAGAAGGACGAGCGGGGTCGTCTGGTCATCGACCAGGAGTACCGCACTAAGGTTCCTCACATCCGTGTTGTTGGTGACTGCACTTTCGGCCCCATGCTTGCCCACAAGGCTGAGGAGGAGGCTGTTGCCGCTGTTGAGTACATCACCAAGGGATACGGTCACGTCAACTACGGCGTCATCCCCAGTGTCATGTACACTCACCCCGAAGTTGCCTGGGTTGGCCAGAACGAGGCGGAAGTCAAGGCCGCTGGCATCAAATACCGCGTCGGTACTTTCCCCTTCAGCGCCAACTCCCGTGCCAAGACCAACCTCGACACCGAGGGTCAGGTCAAGTTCATCGCTGACGCTGAGACTGACCGTGTGCTCGGTGTTCACATCATTGGCCCCAACGCTGGTGAGATGGTTGGTGAGGCTACCCTGGCTGTTGAGTACGGTGCTTCTTGCGAGGACATCGCCCGGACGTGTCACGCTCATCCTACCCTTTCCGAAGCTTTCAAGGAGGCTGCCATGCTACCTACTCCAAGGCCATCCACTTCTAAGTTCATGTTACCAATTCGCCATCTGTATCTTTCTAGACTAGCTACGCTAGCAACCCTGTAGCATTTGCCTGGTTATATTTCCTATGTTGGTTGTGTGTACTGAGACTTATGAATAAAAGACATTATTCTTATCACCAAGAGTAACTCGACGGACTTCGCTGTCGCCAGGCGAGACTCATATTTGATTACTTGATCGTATTTCATTCGACGGTCTGGACTGAGCGACATGATGAAGAGGTAGTTTCTAGCTGAATCTCTGCCAGCACGGAAGTGGGTGGACCCGTCCTGTCTAAATTCCAGTAATCGAAACAGACTCCACGGTTTACGCTCTAATTGGGAATCTGAAACACGTGGCCGGAGGATGTAGGCATCTGTCTACTATACGTCATAGACGGCGCAAAGGGAAGCACCCATTCCTTCAAAACCGCAAGGAAGGCATTGCAAACAGCATCGACAGCCTGTTCACGAGACGCTCCACAGCTTTCAACATACACTTCCAAACAGTCAGTTAGATACTCCAAAGGCCCCGGGATGTGTATGCCACTTACGCTTAACCTTTGGCTCCGTGCCTGAGGCACGGAACGTAAACCGCACATCCTGGTCCAACCAGAGAGTCAACATCTGGCTGGACTTATCAACCGGCAGTGCAGGCCTGTTGTCGGCCGTGCCGGAATCATAGCCCTCGGTCATGTCTTGCCAGCGCAGAATTTTGAACGGGCCCAAGGTCTTCTCGGTTCTATAGGGCCCATTCCGAATGGCTCTGAACAAAGCCATTGTTGTCTCCGGGTTCGAGGACCGGAAGTAATTGTTGAGAGTTTCGTAGTGACCATATTCCTTGAAGAGCTGCTGTAGTTTCATGTACGGGGTGAGTCCTTGCAACTGCCATTTGGCCTGTGCTGCTAGGAAGACCATCGCTGCTGTAATGCCGTCTTTGTCGTGACAGACGGCCGGGAACATGTAGCCTAGTGCTTCTTCGAATGCGTAGGGGACATTGTAGCCCTCGCCTTCGAGGCGTCGGGCGATATTCCCCATCCATTTGAAGCCGGTTAGTGCCTCTTCGAATTGTATACCCCTGGCTGTTGCCATTTTCTCGAGCATGCCTGTCGACACTGTGGAGTTCAGGACTGCAATGCGTGTGTCGTCCTTTTTGTTTTCCAGGGAGTCGAACAGGTGAGATGCGAGTAAGACTCCGATATGGTTGCCTGTAAAAGAAAACCATGATCCGCTGGATATTTGGTCAGGTCATCGGTGGTATACTATGATATCGGAGTGCAGCACGTACTCAACTTTCTCGGCGGCAGCAAAACGATCTGCATCTGGATCATGGGCAATGATCAATGTTTTGCCTTCCTTATCGGCGGTTTGCATAGCCAGGTCCAAAGCTCCAGCTTCCTCAGGGTTGGGGAACGATACTGTCGGGAAATCCGGATTGGGCTCTACTTGTTCCGGTACAGGCGTGAATTCGGTTACGCCCACAGACCGACAGAGGTTGGGGAAGACAAGGCCTCCAACTCCGTGCAGGGGTGTGTAAACAAAAGGTCTTGGTTGTTTCCAGCCAGACACAGTTGAGTTCTATATGAGTGATTAGCGCAGCGGGCAGCAAAGTGGATAGTCACTTACCGCGTAATCCCAAACCGTCTTTGTATAGTGAGGCAAGATGGTCTTATATGCATCGGCGTGTAGATATTCGCATGCCTGGAGATCTTTCCAGGCGCCAGGCCATGGGGCCAGATTTTGCTCAATCGACTGGCTATCTCTACATCAACGGGGGTGTTGATCTGGGCGCCGTTCTTGAAGTAGCTAGGATCATGTCAGTCATAACTTAATGAAATAAATAATCAAGGCGCAACGGACACTTTGTAGCCTATACAAAAAGTGGTTATTAGGTCAATACATCAATTTCGAAGGTTGAGGCTTACCATTATCTTGTGCCGGGTTCTACTGGACAGTTAGTTTTATTTTCATTTTCGTCTCTTTTTTTTCAGATTTTTGAGGAAAACCTACATGGCTTGCAGTGATCATAATACCAGCAGCAGCTTTCAAGTGAGTTACTCCAAAAGGCACAGATGGAGTCACAGAAGGTTCGGAGTAGAACCAAACCGGGATCTGCTGTGAGATGAAGGCATTCGCAGCCAGAGCTGCAAACTTGGCTGAGTTATGACGAGCGTCATGGCCAATAACCACTCCGCCCGAAGCACTGTCCGTATGCTTCTCCTTCAAATACTTGGCCAGGCCTTGCGACGCCTGGATGACGGTTAAAGAGTTCATGCAGGAGAACCCTGCCGCCATCCGGCCGCGAAGGCCTGCAGTCCCGAATTGAATTCCTATTGTTTACGGTTAACCTGAAGCGGTCGGTACAATGAACATGTTTATGACATGTCACATACGGTTCTGAAGCCGTTGTTCAAGATCTGCAACAGCGCCGGCGTCCCGAAGCTGTTGGATCTCGGCGCGGGTGGTGGGGTCCTGCGACGTTAGAATGGGCCTGAAGCTTTCGGGGTCGGATATATAAATATCGATGTCTACGTACTTGGTCCCACTCCAGCCATTTTTGAATCAGTGGAGAAAGAGAGTCCTACACCGGTTAGAAATGCAATATTTTCGTATGGAAGGGAGTGACTACCATTATCGAACACGAAAGGGGATCATAAGATCTATTCTGAGCGAGGTAGGAGAAGGCAGCACCGAATAGTAGAGGAGGATGCGGAAATGGAGGAATGTAAGTGGACTGATTGAAAAAAAGGATGGGGTGACGATCGACGGCGCGTTTCCAATTGCTCGACCAGTCCACCGCTTCCACCCGCTGCTAGACCCTCTCTGCTGCAACCCTTCCACAACTAACTACTCCGTACTTCCCACTCCTTCCGATCCCTTGCTACCGTTTCCCCTTCGTTTTCTTCTTCGTCTTGTTTTTCTTCCTTCCTTACCTACGCAGGCCGTACGATGTTGACCCGAACTGCTTTACTCTACCGCGACTGAGCTGGATACGATCGTTCTCTAACTTAATATCATGGCCGACGCTCTCAAAGCTGCCGCAACACCTGCGCCCACGTCGAGGAAGGATGCTATCTTGTCACGACGTTGGATCGAAGGTCAGATAGCCGAAGGCAAGCATGTTATTGTCTACGACGACCGCGTTTTGAAAGTCGACGCATGGATCAAATTCCATCCGGGTGGTGACAAGTCGATCAAGCATATGGTGGGAAAAGATGCGACGGATGAGATCAATGCGTACGTGCTTCGGATATGCTGGAAAGCCTTCCTGGGTCACTGACAACCTCTCGTATAGTTTACATTCAAAGGAAGCGCGCCAGCGGATGTTGGCCTTCCAGATCGGACGCATCCAGGGTCCGTGGTTAAACTTCCTCCCACCGATTCAGGGCGGGAAGTTCCGCCCATATACCGAGGCAACTTGCACGTCAGATGAAGACAGTTCTAGTCAGGATATGTCTACACCGCCGTCCCCGATTTTCGACTCAGTGGACGCTAAGTCCGGCCTCCGCCGGCGAAAGTCTGTTTCCTCGGATACGTCCGCGTCCACCTCAGCTACCCCAGAGTTTGAGCCAAAGCCATTCTTCCTCGACGCTCGAACCCAGGAAGAGATCGTCCTTGATGTTTCCAAATACCCGTCTTTAGATACAGAAAGTCAGGAGAATATCAAGAAGAAATATCGTGCATTAGACCAGCGGATTCGCGATGAAGGCCTATACGACTGCAACTATTTCGCTTACTTCATCGAATGCTGCCGCTATACGCTCTTTGCGGCTCTGTCTTACCTATTCCTCCGATTAGGTTGGTATGGAACCTCGGGGTTCTTTTTGGGATTCTTCTGGCACCAGCTCGTCTTTACAGCCCATGATTCAGGCCACATGGGCATTACCCATCATTTCCACGTCGATAGTGTGATTGGCATCATCATCGCCGACTACCTTGGAGGTCTAAGCCTAGGATGGTGGAAGCGCAACCACAATGTGCACCATATTGTGACCAATGCACCAGAGCATGACCCCGATATCGAACACATGCCCTTCTTTGCCATCTCTCACCGTTTCCTCACCAGCCTCCGCAGCACTTACTATGAACGTATTATGACGTTTGACGCTTTTGCCAACTTCATGCTGCGCTACCAGAACTATCTTTACTATCCGATTCTCTTGTTTGGTCGCTTCAACCTGTATCGCCTGAGCTGGGAATATCTGCTGTGCGGTCAAGCACCGAAGAAAGGCCCCGCTTGGTGGCACCGGTGGTTCGAGATGGCTGGCCAAGTCTTCTTCTGGTATTGGTTTGGGTACGGGGTGGTGTACCGTAGTATCCCCGACTGGAGTAGCCGTCTAGTGTTTATTTTGATCTCGCACATGGTTACCGCTCCGTTACATGTGCAGATTACTCTCTCCCATTTTGCCATGTCGACGGCCGACCTGGGTGTCAACGAGTCCTTCCCCCAGAAGATGCTTCGCACCACCATGGATGTCGACTGCCCAACCTGGCTCGACTTCTTCCACGGCGGTCTGCAGTTCCAGGCCATTCACCACCTGTACCCACGCATCCCACGCCACAACCTGCGTCGTACCCAAAAGTTGGTTATGGAATTCTGCCGTGACACTGGCATCCCGTATGCCGTCTTCACCTTCTACGATGGCAACAAAGAGGTTATCGGAAAACTTGGTGATGTCGCGAAGCAGGTCCGTATTCTTGACGAATGCCGCAAGTCGTGCGCCCAGCAGGGCGTCTTCTCAGACCACCACTAGATGACCGCCCTGATTTTCTAAATGCGTACTGCCCCGCTGATTTACCGTGGGTTTTGCGATCAACTGCATACTCTGGCCCCGTGTATATATTACACAGTTGTATATAATCATGCCTGCGGACTGTCTTGGGGTAAGGGTATCGGCCCCCAGTTGCAAGATTTGATGTCGACAGACTCGTAATGCCCTATTGATGATGTGATAATGTCCCTCAGTTTGACGTCGGTTATTATTTATATGTATGAGCTTCCACTTAGAGAGTAGAATCATGATCATACTATATTTATGACTTCCAAATCCACGGTCCCTTATATATTCTTGTTCAAAGATTCGCTTTTTATATTCAATAACGCCCATCATCCGGGGTTTATTAACTAATGCAGTATGTACATACATAAACCACGAGACTTTATGGTCATCATCACAGCATCATGGGAAATCATCATCCATCAGCTATCATCACCCCATCATACCCCCAGCCCGCGCCACCTTCTTCGCTCTCTGCTGTCGACGATTATGATTCGCCCTACTCGCCTTATTTTCCTCCTTCCTCTGCCGCTGCGCAGCCGGATTCCCGTCACCGGAGCCACTTCCCGCGTTACCACCACGCCCGCGTCCAGCACCACCACCTCGTCGACCACCACGACCGCGCCCCCTACCGGGGCCTCCTCTACCGCGAGACCCAGAGCCAACCGGCTCATCAGTCTCACTGCCCGACTCCCCATCGCCCTTAGGCCCAGGCCTCCGATAAGCTGTCGGCTTAATCTCCGGCTGCATAAGACCTGTCCCGCCAGGCCCGACCTCCGAAAGCGATAACCGATCCTCCAACTTCGCCAACCGCTTCGAATCCCGCGCCAGCATAACAGCCCACCCCTCAATCGCCTCATCCGTCATGCCCGTCTCGCGCTTCAGCGAAGCTCGTGGCTGCGACCGACGGGTAGCCGAGTCCCGAGCAAACAGCGCCGGCGTAGCTTGTACGTCCGGAACAGCGTGAGATCGAGCTCGTCCGCTTTGTGTTTCGCATCAGCGTCTGTGTCAGTCGTGGTGGCGTCAACGGTGCCGCCTACGTCTGCTACGTCATAGGTATCGTCGCGTTCGTCGTCGTCTGAGTCGAAGCTCGCCAGCGCAGACATGATGGCCGCTTTGTTGGCGGCGTGCTTGCTGCGATCTGCGAGGATGTCATCGGCTGTTTGGTCTGGATTTGCGCGGCCGAAGCGCAGTTGGTCTGTTTCGGCGAGGTCGGCTAGATCGACGTCTTTGTCGAAGATGTTTTTGCGGGCCTGAGTCGGTGGAGAGATTCCTGGTGGTGTTGGACGGGGAGGGAAGGGGTCGTGCTTGGGGGCAGTGGAATCGGTAGTGGGGAGTTGTTCTGATTTATCAAGGTTCTGGAGTTCAGGGGGAATAGAGTCATCCAGAAGGTGTGCGATGACGATCTCCGGGTTATCGTCGTAGACATCGAGTAGACGGACAATGTACCCCGATCCCAGGTCGGGGAAGAGGTCCTGGATCTGCGTGATGAGCGACATTCTGTGAATATGCATGTCGTCTGCTTGGGGGAGATCTGTGGTGGCGCGGGCTTTGCCCTTGTCGAGTCTTCTCTTTTGCTTCTGGTAGCGGTGGTGGAATACATTCGATTCGATTTGGTAAGCGCGCAGACTGGAGAGGAGATCTTGGCCGCGTTTCTGCGGGTGCAAGATCAGGTACCGATCCAGGCGGACAAGGAGATCAGAGCTGCATATTAGGTCGGAGAGGAGGGTGGGCTCCTTCTTTGTTGTGGGTGCGTTGATCCCTGCGCTGGCCTTTAGGCTGAAGAGCTGGTCCAGAAGTAGGGAGAGGTTTGGTTTTGGGCCTTTTAGTAGAGATGTAAGGCCGACGTAGATGATGGCGACTAGTACCTTGCGGAAGTCTTCCCTCTTGTGTCCTTGGTATGCTTCGCAGCAGGTGTCCAGGAAGTCGGAGCCGGCCATCAGTGTCTGGCCGCATGGGGGGAGGACAGAGCCCAGGATGGTTAATAGGCGAATGTCAGAGATGATCTTTGGAGCTTGCGCGGAGCTTGACATAGCCAGCTGTTTCGTCATGGTTGTCTTTGCCTTCTCGAGGCTCGATGATATAGTCTCTTCATGCTTGTCCCATGCTTCGGATAGTAATTTCTTCAGCGCAGAGCTGGAGGGATAGCAACTGCACATGTTGCCCAGGTACTTCCATTCTAGTAGATCTGGTGGTGAGGTGGGCGCATCTAACAAGAGTCGCCTTGTGAGCAAGAAACATAGCCTCCGTAGTGTTCTTGCTTTCGTCCCCATGTGCAAACCCGGCGTACCAGCACTTGCCAGCTGGTCATAGAATGAAGTCAAGAAGGTGACTGCGGAGTCATCTGTGGATGCATATTGTGCGAATTCCGCATTAGATGATTCTATGCGCAAGCTCAGAAGCAAGATCCACGCATCTGTATAGAGCTCCCATTCCTGGGGTGGTATGGCACTCTGCACCGCGGGGGGTGGAACTGGTGCAAGAGGAGGCCAAATTGCCATGACACAGCGCTTCTACGAGGATAACGATGCAGTAACAAGAAGTACGCTTGGGAATCAAAGTTCGAAATGAAATTAAGAAAACAGAAGCCAAGAATATATCATCATCATTAAGCTTGACCAGACCAGACCAGACAATCAGCCCCATATTCTTTATCGCATTTATCAGATGGCATGTCATTGGTGATCTGCTGACTCATCCGCACCGGGGGCCCGATCGGGTTAGCACCAGATAGGCGAGCGCCAAGACACCGCACCCGCACAAGCGGCGCTAAGCGCACTATGGGAAAAAAAGCGAAAGAATTCACGATAATAATAATCGCATATCGCCAGAGCTATTCCAACAGCCATCATCACCTTACCGAACCTTGAAGTTCAGGTCTTGATTGGCAACTAGCCTTACTTTGCGGTAGGTCCCCCCCACTCTCACATTTATCTCCTTTTCCTGCTTCCCCTTCTTGCAACTAACCCGTCGACTTCTAGCCATCTCAATCCCGGTCTCCCCACCGCAAACCAACTGTCAAGATGTCTTTCCAGAAGCCCGAGAAGGATTTCGGCGAGGGCCCTGTACGTTGACCCAACAGCTCTCCAGCCCCAAGTTCATCTCAAGATGAAGATGACGAACAATGGGGGTGGAAGAGAAGCTCCGAAACAATGCGCCAGCCATACTAACAACTCCCAACAGAAGGTCCACAAGATCCGTATCACCCTTACCTCTCGCAAGGTCGCCTCCCTCGAGAAGGTTTGCTCTGAGCTGATCGACCGTGCCCGCTCCAAGTCCCTCCACGTCAAGGGTCCCGTCCGTCTTCCCACCAAGACCCTTCACATCTCCACCCGTAAGACCCCCAACGGTGAGGGTTCTAAGACCTGGGACAAGTACGAGATGCGCATCCACAAGCGTCTCATCGAGTATGTTGCACTTCACCTACTTTGTGACTAAGGATGCGGTTACTAACGATGTGACTTAGCCTCCTCGCCCCCACTGAGACTGTTAAGCAGATCATCATCAACATCGAGCTGGTGTTGAGGTTGAGGTCACCATTGCCGCTTAAACTTACTCAAAAATGTTCTAGTTCAGTTCAGGGAGGGAGTGATATCCGCTCTTGACTGGGGTGGGCGAGTTTGGTGCATGCTGGGCTTTCGTCGATACCCACTAGAATCTGGCATAAAAATGGAAAAGTTTGTGGAAAAGTATTCTTTGGTGCTTTTATTGTATGCTGATCGTAGAATGTACGTAACTTGAGGAACATGTAGAATCGTAGAACGTGTACAATTGTAGGAGTTGTAGCTTAACGTTGCTTAGCAATCCAGCTCACTGGTTGGCTGGCTTATTGAAGGCGGTTGGTCCTTCATGTGATCATCATATTAAAAGAGAAGAACTATATACTACAGGGGTTCGTGAAGCGCATATCGAAAACGAAAAAACCATGGTATCCTCAATATTTTCCAGGCCTAAAAGTCGAAACTCACCCATTCTGTCTTCGGTGGTACGCTTGGGATGACGCCGTCCTTGAAGTATCCGTTTTTAACAAAAAACTCATACTGTTCCGTGACCTCAGGGGTATACTCTTCCGGCTTTCCTGTTGCATCTCTCAAGCTCGCCGGGTCGGGAGGCCCATCCGGGAAGAAGATGCGAACGTATGTTTGGCGGTCTTGAGGATGCAGATAACACGGGCTGTTGTCAATATACTTGACGGGCTGTCCTTTCCATGTGGACAGTCTCTTGGTCATAGGATCTCGGACCGTCTGACCGGATAAGGGTGGAATGGGACTGAGCTGATTCGGATCCTCAACCTTGATGATGGCAGGAGGGCCAGTGCCTGCTGTAGCGGTAGGAGCTGACGGTGGTTGTTGTTGTTGTTGCGCGGGCTGTGCGAAGCCAGCCGCTGGTTGGCCAAAGGGCGAAGGAGCGGGCTGTGCTTGTTGTTGCTGTGGTTGACTGGGAGCCCCGAAAGGATTTGGTGTAGTGGATGGTTGTCCAAATGGATTGGATGTTGGCTGGGGTTGGGGCTGGCCAAATGGGGATGGTGTTTGCGTGGGCTGACCAAAGCCGCCTGTTGTTGCTGGGGTGGTTGATGGCTGTCCAAATCCAGAAGGTGCTGCAGGTTGTTGGCTAGCAGCCTGTGCGAACGGAGACGTGGTTGACGCAGCTTGGCCAAAGCCGACACCTGCGCTCTGATTTTGGTTTGATATGGCACCAAAAGGAGACGCGTTAGTCGATGCACCGAATGACGAACCTCCTAATGTTGACGGTTGCCCAAACGCTGATGGTTGACCGAACGCAGGCTGGCCTGGGTTCGGCTGGCCTATACTGGGCTGCCCAAACGCAGGCTGTCCACCACCTAGCCCCGAAGGTTTACCAAATGCTGATCCCGAACCCAATGTACTTGGTTGTCCAAAACCAGAGCTCTGGCCCAATGTCGACGGTTGACCAAAACCTGCTGTCTGACTGCTAGCAGCTGGTTGGCCGAATGCTGAGGGTTGGCCTAACGCCGATGCGTGACCGAACCCAGAGGGCTTGCCAAAGGCTGATCCCGAAC